TTATAAAAAGGAAAAGCCACTGGTTTGGACATACATGTAGTTTAAGATTTTGAAGACAGATTACCTTCCGACTATCGGGTGCTCAGGTGCTAGGAAACAAGGGAGGAGGCAAGTCACACAGCAGAAGGATTCTGACAGAAATGGAAAACTGCAAGAGGAAAGCTGCTTTGGGAAGGAAGATGCAAGTCTGGTTTTGAACTCCTAGTCTTGAAGGGCTGGCTGAGTAACTGAGAGTTGGAGCTTCACATTAGGTGAAAGGCTGGAACTGGATACATATGCAAAAAAAAAAAAAATCTATGAGTAAAGACATAAAGGAAATGGAGACATCAAAGACAAAATTTTATTAGTAAAGCCAAAAAAAGAAATTAAGACAGAGAAAAATCAGAGGGCAGAGCCTTAGTGAGGAAATTAACTCTCACTCAGGAAAGCAGGCAACAAAAAACAAGAAGAAAAATAGCACAAAGGCTGGAAGGGACCTCACAGGTTACAAAAGAAAGACTTGACTTAAGAGCGTTTTAAGACTAAATTGTAAGGTAGAAAGGGAGGTACTTAGAATACTAAGGAGAAAACAATAAACATGGAAGCAAGGTTCCTAGGAAAACTGGAATGATCAGCTTTTCTGTACCAGGTAGGATTCATGTTGACAAGTGGCTTATTAACTTGGAGTAACAACCAATTCTGTTTCATTTCTAAGTAATTTCTTAACCAGCTAGCATTTAATCGTATCTTAAGCACTCTATAAACAACAGCAATAATAAAATATCTAAGTAGCTAATGAACTGCCAAACGAAGTTTCACTGAGAGCATCCCTGATACGAAGTGAAGATAATGTCTTCCAAATTATTTATTCAATTTCAATTTGAATAGAAAGAAAAGAAAGCAGCCAGGTGCGGTGGCTCACACCTGTAATCCTAGCACTTTGGGAGGCTGAAGCAGGTGGATGGCCTGAGCTGAGTTGTTTGAGATGAGGCTGGGCAACACAATGAAATGCTGTCTCTACTAAAATACAAAAAAAAAAAAAAAATTAGCCGGGCGTGGCAGCATATGCCTGTAGTCTCAGCTACTTGGGAGGCTGAGGCAGGAGAATTGCTTGAACTCAGAAGGCAGAGATGGCAGTGAGCTGAGATCGTGCCACTGCACACTCCAGCCTGGGTGACAGAACAAGACTCTGTCTCTAAAAAAAAAAGAAAGAAAAGAAAGCCTGACTTTTTTTTAAAGATGAAGTCTCACTCCATCACCCAGGCTGGAGGGCAATTGTGCAATCTTGGCTCACTGTAACCTCTACCTTCACCTCTGGGGTTCAAGTGATACTCCTGCCTCAACCTCCCACGTAGCTGGGATTACAGGTGCCCACCACCACGCCTGGCTAATTTTTGTGTTTTTAGTAGAAACAGGGTTTCACCATGTTAATCAAGCTGGTCTTGAACTCCTGACCTCAAGTGGTCTGCCTGCCTCAGCTTCCCAAAGTGCTGGGGTTACAGGCATGAGCCACCACGTCTGGCCTCTGACTTTTTATTTTTACTTTTGAGCCTAGTTCTTTCTCTGTCACCCAGGCTGGAGCACAGTGTCACACTCAGGGCTCACTGCAGCCTCAACCTCCTGGGCTCAAGCAATCCTCCCACCTCAGCCTTCCTTTTAGCTAGGAGTACAGATGTATACCACAGTGCCCAGCTAATTTTTGTATTTTTATATACAGACAAGGTCTCATTATGTTGCTCAAGCTGGTCTTAAGCTCCTGAGCTCAAGTGATCCACTAGCCTTGGCCTCCCACAGTGCTGGAATTACAGGTGTGAGCTACTGGACCCAGCCTTAGAGCCTGATTTTTTTAAGTCTTGGAATCATATTAAACTAGTCAAAAGAAACATACTAAATAGGGGAAAAAATACATAGGCCAGTAACAGTATTTGCTTCATCTTTTCCAGGAAAGCTTAATGTAAACAGTTGGTCTAACACCAATGTGGACCAAAATATTAGAGATAGGCCAGGCATGGTGGCTCACGCTTATAATCCCAGCCCTTTGGGAGGCCGAGGCAGGAGGAGTGCTTGACCAGACTGCGAAACGTGGCAAAACTCTGTCTCTACCGAACAAAATACAAAAATTAGCCAGGCATGGTGGTGCATGCCTACTATTCGGGTGGCTATTTGGGTGGCTGAGCCCAGGAGATGGAGGCTGCAATGGGGTGAGACTGCACCACCCTTGGTGACACAGCAAGCCTCTGTCTTAAAAATTTTTTTAGAAATATTAATGAAATAAAAATGTAAAAGTAGCAGTGTGTTTACAATGCCTAACAAAGAATACAGCAGACACTCAATAAACATTTACTCACTGTTGGAACCTATCAGTAACAAAATAACCATGACACAAGAAAACAGGTTTTTTTGTTTTTGTTTTTGTTTTTTTTGAGACGGAGTCTTGCTCTGTCACCCAGGCTGGAATGCAGTGGCGCCATCTTGGCTCACTGCAACCTCCGTCTCCCAGGTTCAAGCGCTTCTCCTGCCTCAGCCTTGAGAGTAGCTGGGATTGCTGGAGGCCGCCACCACACCTGGCTAATTTTTGCATTTTAAGCAGAGACAGAGTTTCACCATCTTAGCCAGTGGGCTGGTCTTGAACTCCTGAACTTGTGATCCATCCGCCTTGGCTTCCCAAAGTGCTGGGATTACAGGCATGAGCCACTGCACCTGGCTGAAAACAGTTTTTCTAAGTCTAGCTTATGAAATATACTAATTAATCAACTTAAAATAACTAAATTGTCCAGGCACCGTGCCTCACACCTGTAATCCCAGCACTCTGGGAGGCGGAGATGGGCAGATCACCTGAGGTCAGCAGTTTGAGACCAGCCTGGCCAGCATGGAGAAACTGCTAAAAACACAAAAATCAGCTGGGTGTGGTGGTGCATGCCTATAATCCCAGCTCCTTGGGAGGCTGAGGCAGGAGAATCACTTGAACCCGGGAGACGGAAGTTGCAGTGAGCTGAGATTGTGCCATTGCACTCCAGCCTGGATGACAAAAGCAAAACTGTGTCTCAAAAAAAATTTTTTTAATTAATTAATTCAATCAAATAACTAAGTTATTTGCAGCCTTTTTTATTTTTGAACATTAAAAGGGCAGCTAGCTATAAATGAGAGACCTTCAGTGCAATATGGACCCTTAATTCTACAAATATTTTACAGTAGTGACATTTAAAGACAGAGGAAAATGATTTTGCCATTCAGTTCAGTCTTTCTTCCTCTAACCTTTTCTACTCTTTTGTGAGAACTGATAATAAACCAGATAAATTTAAAAAGAAAGAAAAAAAAAGCTATTTGCCAAAAATACTTCCCTTGGAAATGCATTATCCTGAGAACAGCATTCAGGCCATTCCACAAGACTAAAGGCATTTCTTGCTCTGGAGCAAAACAACTTCTCCAGATCCCCTTCCTCAAGAAATGAAGTCTACTTATCCGTGTTCCACCTCAGTGGTTGCGAGTACCGACTCCAGAAACTACAGGAATCATCAGTATGCTAGAATCAAGATATGTGGAATTTTACCTATAAAATTTTCTTTTCTGTGTGAAGAGCAGAAATGAACAGTGTAACCTTCATCCATCCTCCCAGCTTGAGCCTAGATGTTCCTTCAGACACCCTTGGCAGTCAGCCTAGTCGTCTGTTGTTTTTTAAAGATCTTTGCAGAAAATCATTCTACAACCTTGAGTTGTTTTTAACTCAAACATGCACAAAATCATTTTAAATGTCTCACTAGGTTCCATTTCAGGAAGTCATCTTTTTTAAACTTATTACCACTGAAAGGCTATTTCTCCTAGAACTGACCTTACTCGATACAGCGGTGGTACCTCATTCTTACACAACGACATTAAAACTTAGAGGAAAAGGAATTATAGCTATAAAGTAAATAACAAAAACTTGAACTCGCACACACTAACAAAACTGGTTTAGAGCCTTATTTCAAGGATTCTCACACTTCCTTTTGCCCGAGAATCTTCTAGGGGGGTTACTAAAAAAGTGGCTGTCCTTTCTCAGACCTCCATTCAGGATTCAGCTTCAAATAAGTGAAAACTAGACATTCCTAAAGATTCTCACCACCACATAAAACTAAAACAAGTTCTTGACTGCCCAGGATTACAGGGCAATTTCCAGCAATTACAGCCATTCAGGCGTTCCAGGACCAGCCTGAACTGCACACAACCCTTACACGAGACCCTACTACTTCTCACTCTCACTCTCCATCTCCCCACTGGCTTTTTACATTTTCCTTGCCCAAGTGCCAAGCAGTATTTGGAAGGCTGAGGGAAAGGTCGAGGCATTAACTTCTCAGGGACAGTTCTAATTTAAAAAGAAAATGGAAAACTTGTAGAGTGAGAAATCCATTTTCCTTTAAAAATTACATTTTATGCCGGGCATGGTGGCTCATGCCTGTAATCTCAGCACTTTAGGAGGCCAAGGCGGGTAGATCACGAGGTCAAGAAATCGAGACCCTCCTGACCAATGTGGTGAAACCCCATCTCTATTAAAAATACAAAAATTAGCCAGGCATGATGGCAGGCACCTGTAGTCCCAGCTACTCAGGAGGCTGAGGCAGGAGATTCGCTTGAATCTGGGAGGCGGAGGTTGCCGTGAGCTGAGATCACACCACTGCACTCCAGCCTGGGCGACAGAGCGATACTCCATCTCAGAAAAAGAAAAACAAAATTACATTTTATGATTATCTGAGCCTCCCACCATCACCAAAAGTTGGCATTCCCTCCATTGTACTCAGACCTCCCTGTTGACAACGTTGTTTCCTCGTGCCATATTGTCATTGTGACTTCTTCCTCTGCTAGAGGACAAGAGCCATACCTGTTTTACAGTCAGCACCCACCACCGTCCCTATTACATAGGAGGTACTTCACATATGTGCACTGGCTTTTATTCTTGTCCCATCTCCCACCAGATAATTACTATTCTATTGGATTTTCTCTCAATCTTCCCATAGGTAGAAAGTTATTTTATAGAAATCAGTTACCGGGTTATAGATGATATTCTGTAGGTTGTTTAAGGACAACATCATTCTTTCCAGCTTCTTGTTGACTGGAGTCTCTTCTGTGTATGACCTAAGATTTTAGACAAGTTTCATTTAAAGGTTACCTGGATTGAAACTGAGGCACTGGCCCTGTGTAAAGTAAAAATAGAGGAAAAGAAAAATAAGCATGCAGTATTTATCTCCATAACCGACTTTAAAATTTAAATTACACCTTGCTTTACTGATATTTACCAAATAATAGAATGTTATTACAGTGAAAGCTCTGCCTCCCATTCTTACCAGTGTGCTCGTATATTAAATTTTAGATTTTGAGTGTAGGAAATATTGATTTAAAAAACACATCAGTAGAAACTTTCTAACATGGAATTTATTATTAAAAATACTAACATAGGCCAGGCGCGGTGGCTCACACCTGTAATCCCAGCACTTTGGGAGGCCGAGACAGCTGGATCACCTGAGGTCAGGAGTTCGAGACCAACCTGACCAATATGGTGCAACCCCCTCTCTACTAAAAATACAAAAATTAGCCAGATGTGGTGGCGTGCACCTATAGTCCCAGCTACTCAGGAGGCTGAAACAGGACAATTGCTTGAACCCAGGAGGCAAAGGTTGCAGCGAGCCAAGATCATGCCACTGCACTCCAGTCTGGGCAGCAGAGTGAGACTCCATCTCAAAAATTAATTAGTTAATAAATAGCAAATACTAATCAAACAGTCCTGTACAATTACCAGAGGTATTCATTTAACTTTCCATTTCTGTAAAATGAGAATAATTACAGTATTCACATCATTGGTTTGTTCTGAGGATTGAGTTAATAAAACAGTGGAAGAGTAAGTTAGGTATTATTATTGTGAATAAAAGGAAGTGCTCTTCCTTCTCCAATTTAAACAAACCAAAGGGGGGGAAATCAAATCCTTTTAATATTATTAAGTTGCAGTTTTCTCTGTTGCTAAAAAAAAAAAAAAAAAAAATCACAGGGCAAGGGAGTGTTGGAAAGCACTAGCCACATTTTTTAAGATAAAAGTACCCATGGACACTCCATTTAACAGCTCCAGGAAAAACTTGATGACTTTAAGCAGAACTGAAAGGGAAATGAAACTAGAGCTTCCTGTATTTCACTTCCAGCAATTCTGTCATTATACTGCACACCAACAATAATATACTGATAGAATCTATTACTTTTTCTTTATTAAGGAAAAAAATTATATCCCTCTTAGCTTACCACCTAAATATAGGCCCAGTCTGTGTCATTAACACATTAGTCAAAACCTCAAACCTCTGGCTCTGTGACATTCAGAAAGCAAGAACGAGAGCAAAAAAGAATGGACGCCGAGTTGCCACACACATATAATAACCAGCGAGTGACCCAATTTAAGCCATAGGCTTGCATTAAATCACGCAAGCTCCGAAGTATCCCCTGGGACGGGACCCGCCAGCAGGAACACTTGGCGTCACCAGAAGCCATCACTTAAGTTTCACGAAGGGGCAAAGGAAGTCACATGACTAGCGCTTTGTAATGTTTACTACTGCAGTCAAATGACTCGGCATCCTAAAGAGCGTGTGAGAGGCAGGGAGAGCAATGGGGGTCACTCCACTGTCACTACAAATTCCGGGAAGGAAACTTCCCCAGATTCCTCCCCCTTGGAGGTGGCGCTCGGCCTCAGGCTAGGAGGGAGCAGGTGAGAAAGCAGCCCAGGTTGGGTGGGTTTGCAGCTAGGAGACACCCCAGGGCAAACAGCCTGCGCCCAGCCAGGGATGTCCAAGAAAGGCCGCGACTCCTGATCATCCCCCGTGTCCCGGAGCGCCTCGCCCGCAGAGGCGGCGTCCCCGCCACCCAGCCCGGGCTCCGCCGCGGTGAGAACCTGCGGGTCAGGGTGAAGTAGACCCTGTCCCCCCATCAAATGGTGATTTCGGAGCCGTGACATCCGAATGCCATCCTCCGCTGGAGCGACCCTCGGCACAGCCACGCCCCCAGCGACCGCCGCCACCCGAGGCCGGGGTCTCGCGACTCACCCAGGGACTGGTGGTGCAGGCGCGCCCCGGAGCAGGTCGTCTGTCCGCCGCTAGGTGCCGTCCGCGTTCCCGGCGCGGGCGTCCGTGGGCGGCTACGGGAAGCGACGGGAGTCAGTCCTCGTTCACGTCCCCGCCCGCGCGCCTCGCCGCTGTGGCTCCCCCAACCCGCCCCGCGCCCGGTCTTCTGTATCTGGGCGTCCTGGCGACTCTGCTGGATTTCGCTCGGGGCCCCGGCGCTGACCGCCACCCAGCTCGGCCTCCTGCACAGCCCCCGGCGCCTTGGACCGCGACTGGCTTGCTGTGGGACGAGCACAGAGCGATCAAGACCCACAGATGTGTCCCGGGTGGCTCTGGCTGCCTTGGCCCCGAGGGCGGAGTTGGCGGGGGAGGTGGTAGGAAAATGGGAAGGAAAGAAGAGAAGGGCTTTCTTTCCCGCAGCAGGTGGGCCGCCGTCCTCCCGGCGGTTCCAGCCTCCAGGTCTACGAGGGAGAGCGCTCGGGGCTGGGACCTTCCACGTGCGGGCCCCGCCGCCCCGGACCCTCCGCCGGCCTTCCCGGGGCGCCCAGGGCCGCGGGGTCGGCGCCAGGGTTTTCTCGGAGCTTCCTTCCTCGTCTGCCTCGGATCGGAGTCCAGACAGTGCGGAAGAGATAGCTCGACTTGGAGGCGCTGCTTTTTTTTTTTTTTTTTTTTTTTTTTTGAGACGGAGTTTCGCTCTTGTTACCCAGGCTGGAGTGCAATGGCGCGATCTCGGCTCACCGCGACCTCCGCCTCCTGGGTTCAGGCAATTCTCCTGCCTCAGCCTCCTGAGTAGCTGGGATTACAGGCACGCGCCACCATGCCCAGCTAATTTTTTGTATTTTTAGTAGAGACGGGGGGTTTCACCATGTTGACCAGAATGGTCTCGATCTCTTGACCTCGTGATCCACCCGCCTCAGCCTCCCAAAGTGCTGGGATTACAGGCGTGAGCCACCGTGCCTGGCGAGGCGCTGCTTTTTGACAGTACACACCTCTGGGTGTGGGTGAAACGCTGGGGGAAGGGTTCAGTACGCTGGACTACGCCCGTCCCCAAGCGCCCCGTCCCGTTAGTGATAACACTCAGGATAACTGGCCACTCCGCGTCACTCGCCAGTTCCCTTGTGTGTGGGTGTTTTCTCCAAATTAGACCCTTACTTAGGGAACAATTTAAGCAGTATGGAGCTCAATTCCGTGCCTATTAGGTGCTCCGTAAATAGCCAACTTCTCAGGGGCCCGCGCTGACTGATAGTTTGACCTATTGGCTGCAAAACACCAGGCAGAAATACGAATAAGGTTAATCATGTCAGCCGCTTGGAATGGCTGGCTGCTTGCTGTTTGTTTTGGATTAGGGACCTCGAAGTTCTTACCTTCTCGAATTGGCTTTTATCCACATTTATTTGGAAAGATATATTTGAGTGTCACCAACATGGGCTTTCTCCTCCCTGGCTTTTGTTTTTATTATTTTTTATTTTAATTAAGGAATTCATTACAAGTCCCATAACTGGAAACTCATATTGTGGTACTCTGTTGCTTTTCTCTCCTCTACCCATTTTCCAAGTTTGATGTACTTCCCAAGATCCAATCTGAATAGCTTAATTTACCCTGGACACACACTGCCTTGGATGTGTAGTTATCTTTTGATGTGTGTTATGTGTTTTGTCTATCCATCTCGACTGTAGTTTGAGAAAAGGAACTTGTCTTATGCATTGCCCAGTTCATAATGTAATGCTTTGCATAAAATAGATATCAATGTTAGGTTGAAATGTTATATTATTGATAGTCAGGAGCCATTGACTATCTTCACAATTCTGCTTGAGTCTTTTTTTTTTTTTTTTCCTTTGAGACAAGTCTCTCTCAAGTGATCCTCCAACCTCAGCCTCAGGAGTAGCTGGGACTATAGACACACACCACTATGCCCAGCTAATTTTTAGAATTTTTTTTTATAGAGACAGGGTTCACTATGTTACCCAGGCTGGTCTCAAACTCCTGTGCTCACAAGATCTTCCCACCTTGGCCTCCCACAATGCTGAGATTACAGGCGTGAGTCACCAAGCTGGGCCCTGAGTCTACCTAGCACTTCTTCTTTACAAAGGTAAAATAGGTTGACATAAGCACACAAATGCTGTGTTTCTTTGGTATGCTGTTTAGGTGCAAGTGGGGCTAAGTAAAAGGGCCAGAGAGCAGAGTTAACAAAGAAAATCTGGATTAAAATATCCGTAAATCCTAAGAACATATTCCTAGAAATATCTCCCTAACTTGGCACTGTTCAATGAGCCCAGTGTGTCATTTTAAATAAGCAGATATGCACTGAATGCATATCACGGCAAGGCACATCACTAAAGAATGCCAGCATGCAAAGGACCTGTAGGCCCCTGTAGATAGAGTCCCACATCTCTTACATTATTATTGCAATAACCTGATTGGTCTCCCTATTTTTGCCCTTGACGCTCTGCAATTTAGTCTCAACACAGCAGCCAGAGAAATGATGACAAAACATAATTCAGATCATGTTAATCCCTTACTAAAACCTACCTTTTCTGGTTTTTTTTGTTTTTGTTTTTGTTTTTTTTGAGACGGTCTCACTCTGTCACCCAGGCTAGAATGCAGTGGTGTGATCTTGGCTCACTGCAACCTCTGCCTCCTGGGTTCAAGCAGTTCTTGTGTCTCAGCCTCCTGAGTAGCTGGGACTACAGGCGCCCACCACCACGCCCAACTAAGTTTTGTATTTTGAGTAGAGACGGGGTTTCACCATGTTGCCCAGGCTGGTCTCAAACTCCTGACCTCAAGTGATCCACCTGCTTCAGCCTCCCAAAGCTGGGATTACAGGTGTGAGCCACTGGGGTTTGGCCACCCATCTACTAACGTTTGCTTGCTGTTTGAGTTGTTCCTGTAAGATCCAGTTCTTACAGGAGCACTTCATGATCTGCCCCAACCTCACACACTGTGACTTTATCTTCTACTATTTTCCTCCTCCCTTTTTCTGCAGCAGCCACACTGACTTTGCTGTTCTTCCTGCAGGCCTGCCGAACTCCCATCCTAAAACCTTTATTCAGTATTTCCTTTTCCCCTTTCGAGTCTATTCAAATGTCAGTTCTCAGTGGGGCCCTTCCTGACCACCAGTATTTAAATCATAAACACTCTCCTGAAACTCAGTCATACACACTATCAACTCGTCCTTGCTTTATTTCTAACATTTGTCATTCTAATAGACATAGAAGGTGCCTTTTTATTTTATTTTACTTCACCCACCATAAGACTATAAGCTCCATGATGGCAGGGAGTTCTGATTGTTCTGGTTTCAAGAGAGCTTGCACTCTAGCTGAGGACACATGTAGTAATGTGCTTTAGAGAAGGTTAATGTATGTACTTGGGAGCACCTGAGTGACAACCTTAGTTGGGTGACAAGGATATTCTCTCAAGGGAGGCAAAGTTTTAAGCTGCTGGTGAATGAAAGAAAGGAAACAGCCATATGAAGATGGTGAGGAAGAGCATTCCAGCCTGAGTGAGCAGCTACTGCGAAGTCCCTGAGGGTCTAGAGAATGTATTAAATGTGTTCGGGAAACAAAGGCCACCAATCGGCATGGCTGAAGCATGAGGGGAGAAAGATACGCAGTCGGGATTGGATGGGCCATGCAGGAGAATAGATAGAGGGAGAAAATCACCTAGGACAGCCCTCGGGAGATAACACCAATAAACGAGACTGAGAAGGGACAAGCAAGGGAATCTGATGAGAGTGTTGTCACAGACGCCAAAGAAAGAGGAACAGGCCGGGCGCAGTGGCTCACACCTGTAATCCCAGCGCTTTGGGAGGCAAAGGCAGGTGGATCACCTGAGGTCAGGAGTTCAAGACCAGCCTGACCAACATGGTGAAACCCCATCTCTACTAAAAATGCAAAAATTAGCTGGGCATGGTGGCATGTGCCTGTAATCCCAGCTACTCAGGAGGCTGAGGCAGGAGAATCGCTTGAACCCAGGAGATAGAAGTTGCAGTGAGCTGAGATCGTGTCATTACACTCCAGCCTGGGTGACAGCGAGACTCTGTCTCAAACAAACAAAAAAAAGGGAACAGCCAGTTGTGCCAAGTGTGCTGAGAGACCAAGGAAGACAGAAGTGACCAATGGGCTTAGGAACATGAAAGTCATTGCCGACTCTGATTCTGAAGTGGGTTGAAAAAGGTGAGGTGAAGAACTGATGGAAACTGTGACTGTAAATATTTCAAAACTTTTCGCTCTGAGGAGGAATAGAGAGGCAGCATTATAGCTGAGGAAGCTGTGGAGCAAAGGGGAGATTCAGGTTTTCCCGTGTTGTTTTTGTTTTTAAAAAGAGAAGATAGGGCCGGGCGCGGTGGCTCAAGCCGGTAATCCCAGCACTTTGGGAGGCCGAGGCGGGTGGATCACGAGGTCAAGAAATCGAGACCATCCTGGTCAACATGGTGAAACCCCGTATCTACTAAAAATACAGAAAATTAGCTGGGCATGGTGGCGTGGCCTGTAGTCCCAGCTACTCAGGAGACTGAGGCAGGAGAATTGCCTGAACACAGGAGGCGGAGGTTGTGGTGAGCCGAGATCGCGCCATTGCACTCCAGCCTGGGTAACGAGCGAAACTCCGTCTCAAAAAAAAAAAAAAAAAGAGATAAGATACTACACTGGCGACTTTCAGACTTTTTTTTTTTAAGTGGCCTATGATAAGAATTACATTTCCATTGAGGCTTACTACATATGTACTTAAAATTATTAAAACAAAAAATTTGGCTGGGCACAATGGCCAGCCTGTAATCCAGCACTTTGGGAGGCTGAGGCAGGTGGATTACTTGAGGTCAGGAGTTCAAGACCAGCCTGGCCAACATGGCAAAACCCTGTCTCTACTAAAAATACAAAAATTAGCTGGGCCCCGTGGCACGTGCCTATAATTTCAGCTACTCAGAAGGCTGAGGCACGGGAATCACTTAAACCCAGGAGGCAGAGGTTGCAGTGGACTGAGATTGTACCACTGGCCTCCAGCCTGGGCGACAGAGTCAAACTGTGTCTAAAAAAAAAAAAAAAAAATTTTTTAAACAAAACAATACTCTTGCTATGTGTAAAGCAACATCCTTTTTGATTTTAAAAAATGCTGCTTATGACCCACTAAAATGTTTGCGAGACCCACTAATGGGCTGTGACCCGAAGTTTGAAGAACACTCAGTGGTGTGTTGGCGTTAGCTCATACTGGCTCGTGACAGCTGATTTTGCACATAATTTCCACAGTGATACCTTGAAGTTGTCCAGGGCAACTGCCACAACTTAGGACATTCTTCCCGAAAAGAACAAGATCTTAAACATCTACCAGCACACCACTGACTGCACTCATGTCAATGATCGGTGGAGAGGAGAAACTGATCATGCAGGAGAGGGGATGGTGTTCCCAATAAAAGTTGTGAAAAACAGTTTCAGGACAATAGGGTAGAGCAGGCGTCCCCAAACTACGGTCTGCGGGCCACATGCGGCCCCCTGAGGCCATTTATCCAGCCCCCTCCACCGCACTTCAGGAAGGGGCACCTCTTTCATTGGTGGTCAGTGAGAGGAGCACAGTATGTGGCGGCCCTCCAACGGTCTGAGGGACAGTGAACTGGCCCCCTGTGTAAAAAGTTTGGGAACGCCTGGGGTAGATATTGCAAATTATTTGCCACAACTGCTTGAGAGTTGTGCAGATAGAAGGATCACTTCTGGTAGGATCAATCTCTTCTTCTTCTACATTGTCCTCTTTTCTTACCTAAGAAGCCATGTTTATATGGTATAATGTAGCCATAAATTTAGAAACAGTGTGATATAAAAATTGTCCTTTTTTTCTTTTCTTTCTTTTTTTTTTTTTGAGACATAGTCTCATTCTATCACGCAGGCTGTTTGTCATAGTGCAATAATGGCTTGTTGCACCTGTGAACTCCTGGGCTCAAGTGATCCTCCCACCTCAACCTCCTAAGTATGTGGGACTACAGGTGTGCACCACCACGCCTGGCTAATTTTCTTTTTAAGAGATGGGGTTCCACTATGTTGCCCAAGCTGGTCTTGAACTCCTGGGCTCAAGCAATCTTCCCACCTCTGCCTCCTAAATTGCTGGGATTACAGGCATGAGCCACCATACCCAGGCAAAATTAAGTCTTATATGCAAAATGTTACATTATATATATATATAGAGAGAGAAAGCCCACATTTTTTTAAAGAAACTAGTAAAATCATGATCTTAGACATGAATTGTAAGCTCTTTCTACTTAGCAGTGTTAACTGATTAAACAGAAATCGATACCATATTCTATCAATGTGAATCATATTGTTTCAAGCTAAGAAATACTCTGGCAGTGATTTTGCTTGTTATTTTGTTGCTGTATTATTTTTTAACATAATTTTAGAAATTTTGGACCCCTCTCCAACCATCCATTAAATAGCGGTGCTAGTGCTGGAAAAATATGCCCCCAAATCAACCATTTTGGAATACAAATTAGATATGATAAAACAGTATCAGGAACTTTATCAAGAACCTTGATATGCTATGAATTTAGAAACCAGAACTCTGTCACAGAACCTGTGACAATAATAAATTTAAAAAATTAAAGCAAAAATATGCCACAATGGATTATACATTCATAAGCCCTGAGAACACATGTCCTGCTATTCTCCGGAGAAAATTAGTCCAACTATGTAGGTTTTAAATTATGCAACATCTCAGGAATGCATTCTTTACAAAACCACGGCACTCATACTTATACATACACCTGCTTCCCCAGGAAATGTCATGGATGGCATCATCCACCTCTTCTGATTATCTTCCCCAGGCTAAAGGAATTCATTTCTCCTTTGAATCCTCTTCCTCTGACCTAATCGCCCCCCAAACCCAATACTAGTCCCATCCATGAGCACCAAACTGGTTTTTTTTTCACCCTCCAGACCCCCTATGCTTAGATTCACCAGGCTTACCTCTGAAGTTCTACAGGATCATGTCCCAAATCCAGTCTTTTCAGGTGGGAGAAACAAGCTTCTAGAACTATGATTTTGTCATAAAATAAAGGAATCTTAGTGATGAGAAGGATCTTAGGAGGAGTATAAATTAATTCACCTGGGCTGGGCACAGTGGTTCACGCCTGTAATCCCAGCACTTTGGCAGGCTGAGGCAGGTGGATCACCTGAGGTCGGGAGTTCAAGACAAGCCTGACCAACATGGTGAAACCCTGTCTCTACTAAAAATACAAAATTAGCTGGGCATGGCAGTACGTGCCTGTAATCCCAGCTACTTGGGAGGAGTCTGAGGTAGGAGAATCACATGAACCCAGGAGGCTAAGGTTGTGGTAAGCCGAGATCATGCCATTGCACTCCAGCCTGGGCAACAAGAGCAAAACTCCGTGTCAAAAAAAAAAAAAAAAAAAAAAAAAAATTCATCTCAATAGCTCAAAAGATGAGATAGCCTAGTTTTTCAAATACATTTTTTTAATGGCTTACAGATTATGGTGTTAGTACTAAAAAACACTGAATTATTTGATACGAGGAAAATGTATCTGAAATTATGTAAAATGTAAAGGCAAAATGATACGAGAAATGTATAAATAGTATATATGTATATGCTGTATGTATCCAGTGAGAGTCAGGCAGTAATTACATACACATATTTAGCAAAATGCAAAAGAATGATGTCTAACTGGTAGTGTTCATGTTATCCTTTTTCTTGCAAAATTACTGAGATTCATTAAAAGGCTTCTCTCAGTAAGCCAATCTCAATATTTAACCAAGAGTTCCTGTGTGTAGCTAATCTCTTCCAGCTTGTGTTTACACAACTCATTATAAAGCAACAAGTGAAACCTCAGGAATTTCTATGGCAGGTTGGAGCAAGCAAAAAAATTGAAGTGATTTTTAAATAATAATAAAAAAAGCTATTGACTCCAACCGAGTACTTTTCCAAAAATATTTTATCTGGAGCTAATTTAAAACATACACAGAAGTAGAGAGATGGTGTGATAAATGCCCATGCTTTCCTTTCCCAGCTCCCCCACATGACCAATCTTGTTTCCTCTACGCCTCACCTACTTCCTCCCCACCACTGGTTCATTTTGAAGCAAATCTCAGACTTCATTCAATCTGTAAAAGCTTCAAAACTAACTGTTAGATTTAAAGGTTTAATAAGATCCAGCCAGGTTTAAATTATTTGGCTTGAAGACTTTACAGGTGATATGTAGTTCCAATTATAACTCATCAGGAGACACAAAATGTCTGGTTGCTTTTCTTTTTATGACATCAATACCAGTGAGTGGTTTCAGATGTTGTTAGCCTGATCCATCTGTTATGAAGTTCCCATCAGTTTTTGATCAGATGATTTTAGTATCTAGCTATTGATGGTCATTGCCTAGATCCATCATTTCATCAGGAATTGAAAAAAGGTGGTATTTCAGTTCCATCCTTCCTCCTGCATTTATTAGTAAGAATTCTTTTTCTTTTTCTTTTATTCTTTTTTTCTTTTTTCTTTTTTTTTTTTTTTTTTTTTTTTTTTTTTTTTTTGAGACGGGGTCTCACTCTGTCACTAGGCTGGAGTGCAGTGGTGCGATATTGGCTCACTGCCCCCTCTGCCTCCCAGGCTCAAGTAATCCTCCCATCTCAGCCTCCTGAGTAGCTGGGACTACAGGTGCATACCATCATGACCAGCTAATTTTTGTATTTTTGTTAGAGATGGAGTTTTTGCCGTGTTGCCCATACTGGTCCTGAACTCCAGAGCTCAAGCCACAGCCTCCCAGAGTGCTGGGATTACATGCCTGAGCCACTGTGCCTGACCTAAGAATTCTTTTATTAGGAAATACTGCTTGACAAATAGTGCTTCAGTGAATACGTTTGCGCATATGTCTTTTTGTATATTTGCCACAGTGTATCTTTAGATAGATTCTTAGCAGTTTCATTTATTTGTGTCAAAGGTTAAATGCCATGTAATTTTGCTCGATATGAGTCCAAGCACTTCTTGAGAATCCATTTAAATCCTGTCTCGTCTCTACCGTAGGGGAAGGTCCAGGCTGTTCTGATGGGAAAGGGGTATTGGGTGTGAGGCCAAGAGGCTATAGTGGGAAATCTCACCTGAAATGACAGGAGAATCCAAATTAAGGGAGCGTGTAGGATCAGAAACACATGAAAAGCCCAAGTCCAGAAACCAGGAAGGAAATCTAGGGAATTTCAAATAGGGTGAAGAGCAGATATGGAAGCTTCCCTCCAGGAACAGAAATGTGGGAATGATGAATACAGAAACAGGTTTGGAACAATCTGGGGAGGGTCCGAGGTCTGTTCCTGAGTGGCTGGGACTGCAGGTGTGCACCACCACATCCAGTTAGTTTTTTTTATTTTTTGTAGGGATGATGGTCTCACTATATTGCCCAGGTTGGTCCTGAACTCCTGGGATCAAGCAATTTTCCACCTCGGCTTCCCAAAGTGCTGGGATGACAGGTGTGAGCCACTGTATCTGGCCCATCCTTTTTTAATATCATGCATTGCCCTGAGGTATATAAGAAGCCCGTCTTCCCAAGTAAATGAAATTCGAGCTGATGCCTGCAGAGCCTCCTTTAATAAAGGCTCTGAAATACCCACCCTCATTAAAATGATAATTTCCAATAAAATTTTGTTTAACAATGATTTACAAAAGATTAAATTTATTTATTTTGATTGTATGTGGATCACGGTAACAATAAAAAGACTTGTAAAAATAACTAAATTGAAGGAATCTTTGAACATTTAGAGCCTTAAAACCACAGAAATTGAAGGCCACAGGAATATTAATTTATGTTAATATTTTTGTTGCAGAGACATAATGGAGGATCAACGAAAGGCTTTTAAGCATTAAAAAGATATACTAGGCTGGGAGTGGTGGCTCACACTTGCAATCCCAGCACTTTGGGAGGCCAAAGCAGGTGGATCACAAAGTCAAGAGTTCGAGACCAGCCTGACCAACATGGAGAAACCCCATCTCTACTAAACATACAAAAATTAGCTGGGCATGATGGCGCACACCTGTAATCCCAGCTACTCAGGAGGCTGAAGCAAGAGAATTGCTTGAACCTGGGAGGCAGACTTTAGCCTTTGTTTCACTGGAGCTTAACCAATTTGACGGATGTTAAAGAACAGAAGACTGATAGTGAAAGGCTGACAGGGCATTGTCTTCCGAGTTGAGCAAGTGCTTCCTGGTAGCAGAGATGAACTTTTTTTCTTTTCTTTTCTTTTTTTTTTTTTTTTTTTTTGAGACGGAGTCTTGCTCTGTGGCCATGCTGGAGGGCAGTGGCGCGATCTCGGCTCACTACAACCTCCTCCTCCCAGGTTCAAGCAATTTTCCTGCTTTGTTGCCCAGGCTGCAACAACTGTTTGCTTAGGGATCAAAATGCAAAGGACCATACCATTTAGCCTCATCTTCCTACTATAGATAAAGTTTAAAAGTACCATAGCATAGCTAAATTATAGAGAAAAACATGGATATAACTACAAAAGTGGAAAGAGATTTGGGATAATTCTTGCCCGTTTTGTTACACCAAATGCATCTTTGTGCAAATTAGAAAAAGGTGGTCTTCATCCCTTCATTCTCGTGCACCTATAAAACCAATACAATCTGTATACTTTTTCTTGTTAATCTGTCTGGTGTCAATTTGATTTCTAGGTCCAGCCAAAGAGGACCTAGATCTCCGGCTCCTCTCCAAGGCACTGGCCATGGATAATCAGGAAGCTGGGCTGTTTCTGGGAACAGAACCATCTGCTTGTGTAGGATCTGCAGTGAGGTTCTAATCCCCTATTGGACCTTTCAGCACTTCAGGCGGTTAGTGTATTAGTTTAACCCTAGCAGTGATCAGGCAATTCTTGAGATCATGTATACAAAACAGTAACAGGGCTGGGCGTAGTGGCTCACGCCTGTAATCCCAACATTTTGGGAGGCCGAGGTGGGTGGATCACAAGGTCAAGAGATCGACACCATCCTGGCCAACATGGTGAAACCCCATCTCTACTAAAAATACAAAAAAATTAGCCAGGCGTGGTGGCACGTGCCTGTGGTCCCAGCTACTCGGGAGACTGAGGCTGAAGAATCGCTTGAACCCAGGAGGCGGAGGTTGCAGTGAGCCGAGATTGTGCCACTGCACTCCAGCCTGGTGACAGAGCAAGACTCTGTCTCAAAAAAAAAAAAAAAAAAAAAAGTAACTATGAAGCAAGTCAGCCCCATTCCCTGTGAGAGTTCTTCATGGAAAAATTCCGAAGATTTGAGAAATTAAGCTGTGCATGGCCTTCTTTCAGTCACTTAAAGCTGGATTCATTTAGAAACTAAATATTTTGAAAGAGGTGAAGGCCATGAACACCATAACCTAATATAATCCAAAATCAAATGTCCAAATGTCTTCCTCCTGTCAACTTCTGCCATCCCTCGGTGACAAACTATAGGTAGGAGAGACATAAAACATACTTTTGTTCCAATAAAGATAAAGACAAAGAAGGTTGGGCACAGTGGCCTATAATGCCAGCACTTTGGGAGGCCGAGGCAGGTGGATCATGAGGTCAGGAGTTCAAGACCAGTCTGACCAACATGGTGAAACCCCGTCTCTACTAAAAATACAAAAAAAAAGAAAGAAAGAAAGAAAGAAAGAAAGAAATTAGCTGGGCATGTTGGCGTGCATCTGTAATCCCTCCTACTCAGGACACTGAGGCAGGTGAATTGCTTGAACCCGGGAGGTGGAGGTTGCAGTGAGCTGAGATTGCACCACTGCACTCTAGCCTGGGCAATAGAGCGAGACTCTGTCTCAAACAAAACAAAACAAAAAACAAATGACAAAGAAGGGCATTACATAATGATAAAGGGAACAATTCAACAAGAAGAGCTAACTCTCCTAAATATATATGCACCCAATACAGGAGCACCCAGATTCATAAACAAGTTTTAGAGACCTACAAAGAGACTTAGGCTCCCACACAATAATAGCAGGAGACTTGAACACCCCACTGTCAATATTAGATCAACGAGACAGAAAATTAACAAGGATATTCAGGACTTCAGTTAAGCTCTGAATCAACTGGACCTAATAGATATATACAGAACTCTCCACCCCAAAGCAACAGAATATACATTCTTCTCAGTGTC